GAGGCTGGGGAAGGGACTCAAACACAAGTCCAGTGAGGAGAGGCTGAGGGAGCTGGGGTTGTTTAATCTGGAGAAGAGGAGGCTCAGGGGTGACCTCATCACACTCTACAACTCCCTGACAGGAGGTTGTAGCCAGGTGGGGGTCGGTCTCTTCTCCCAGGCAGCTCTCTGTGAGACAAGAAGGCATGAGCTTAAGCTCTGCCAGGGGAGGTTTAGGTTGGATATTAGGAAGGAATTCTTTCCAGAGAGAGTGCTCAGCCACTGGAATGGGCTGCCCAGGGAAGGGGTGGATTCTCCATTCCTGGAGGTGTTTAAGGTGAGACTGGATGTGGCACCAGTGCCATGGTTTGGGAACCACGGCAGGGTTGGATCAACGGTTGGACTTGATGATCTAGGAGGTCTTTTCCAACACAGTTGATTCTGTGATTCTATGATTCTGTGATTCCATGATTCTGTGATTTTATGATCTACCCCACTGTGACACAAGTGTTCCTGTTGCTGGCATCTAGTTACCACTGTAGCTTCATGCAACCTAAACACAAACTGAAAACCAATTTATTAGAGGAATGTCTACAGCATGAAAAAGAGATGGGCCCAGGGCAACACCAGCTTGTGACTCAGGGATAAAAAACATTGAATTTTGGCTTTTTGTGCACATCCATTGTTAACAACACCTCCTGGTTGTCAGAGAATTATGAAACCTGCATGGACATAGGAGTTTCCCAGCAGAAAATGGAATGGAATAAATTCATTACAATTTATTCTGCAAAGGCATCAAACTACGCTGTGCTATCTCCAAGCCCTTGATTTCAAGCTTAGTTTCGATATTATCTGGTGTCATAGTAAAGCAGCCAAATAGAACTGAAGAAAACCTTTCCTCCACTTAATCTACGTCCTTCCACACGAATCAAAAACATTTCTGTGTTGATGCCATGGGCAGGAGGACGCAGACTCTGAGGCAAAAGGCTGTGCCAGCAACATTTTGCCTTCTATGCCGAGGAGCCCCCACTGAGATTTCCACGTGGTGCCACCTGGGGCTTGGAGCTCTTCAGAGGAAGGAAGCAAAGCAAAGCCTCACGGAACTGGTGGTCAGGCCGTGGCAAAAGAACCTCCTGGCACTCCTGTTGAGTGGTCAAGCTGAGAGGAGAAGGTTGGAGATCTTATGGAAACTTTCCAGGATCTCAAGAGGGGCTACAAGGAGTCTGGTGAAGGACTTTTCATCAGGAACTGGAGTGACAGGACAGGGGGGATGGGCTCAATCTGAAAGAGAGTAAATTTAGATTTAACATTGGGAAGCAATTCTTCCCTGTGAGGGTGGTGAGGCCCTGGCACAGGTTGCCCAGAGAAATTATGGATTCTCCATCCCTGGAAGTGTTCAAGGCCAGGTTGATGTGGCTCTGAGCAAACCTGGGCTAGTGGAAGGTGACCCTGCCCATGAAAAGAAGTTGGAACAAGATCATCTTGAACATCCCTTCCAACGCAAATCATTCTGTGATTCTGTGTGAGATCCCTAATCTGGGGACCCTGTGGGAGCCCCTCCCCTGCTGGCAGCTCCAGGTTATCCCAGTCAGACATCAGGGGTGTGCAGACAGGTCCCCCTGCCCCTCTGCATCCTGCCTGGGAGCTGGGAAGTGCTCCAACATTCCACATTTACCTCAGGGACCACCTGCCAGCGGACAATAGCCAGGAATTACACCCTGCACATCTCACTGACTGAACAAACAGAGCTTTTTTTTTTTTTTTTTTCTGCACAAACGGGTTCCACAGCCACAGAAATGATCACATTAAGCAGAGTCTGGATTTATTTTCCTTCCTGCCAGCTCCAGGGGTGCATCCCACACAGCTATGGAACACTCCTGACGGCATTAGCATGAGGTTAAAAATTCTTGTGGTGTGTCCTTGAAATTTATGGCCGGGGGGCATTTATATCCTTCCAGATTTGTTTTCCTCGGGCATGTTGTACAGCCTGTATATCATCTGCAGGACTGGCTGTTACTTATGTTTGCAAACAGAGCTCCACAAATAACAATACATAAAACACAGGGAATGATTTGCAGCGCCCAGGGAATATAAAATATGCAGGCACTTTCAGAAGGCAGAGTAGGCTGGAAATATTGAATTTCGGGCACTTTATGGAGACACCAATCTTTTGTACACATGCATATTGATTTATAATTATGACTTAAGGGATGTTTCGGTAATCTAGAAGTATCCAGGGTTTTACTGCTCACAGGCTGTGCACAGTTTCACAGCACAAAACCCTTCTATGCTTCTTCACAAAATGTTCTGATTTGAATTCCTCGCTTGTAGACGTGGGGGAAAAAATGCACTGAAGATAAACAGTATCATGCTACAGTTAAGTTTCCTGAAGTCCTCTCACCAGTTTTATGTTTCACAGAAAACTTTAGCACAAAGCCACTTAAAAATAACGTTGGCTTCATGTGGAGGTTTCTTGTTACAGCAAAAGGCACCTCAAGTTTGTGTGGGCTGAGTGGAACCAACAGATGAACTCTCACTGAGGAAGGCTCATAATATTGACTAAACATTTGGTTTCTTACTGGTCTGGTTGGACACAGCTCCAATTTTCAGGGTTTATTTGGTAGAATATACAAAATGTGGTGCTGCTCACCCAAAAAAACACCATTCTTGAATTTTTGGGCCTCCCAGTTACACAGATGGGAATAACTTTCCAGTTGCTGGGCTCACTCTCTCTTTCCTCAAAAGGATCCTGCATGAGGCAGGAAAAACACAACTTCCCACAAACTTCCCCAGCAGAAGCTCATGGAAAACCAGGGAATGGTCTCCTCAAAGTGTTGTAGATAACTCATCTTCCCTCTCCACCCAAATAGATCTTACCCATCTAAAATGGGGAAATGAGGCCCACCCTCAACTCTCCCCCTCTGAATTTCCCTAAATCCCACTCCCACATTCCCAGCAATGCCACAAAATTCATCCAGTGGCCTCGTGGTAACTGTGTGAGTAAAACCAAGCATATAGGACATGCCAAAACGGCTTCATATTTTCAAGCTATAAATAAAAAAAAAAAAAAAATCCCAAAACAAAGAACCCCAGCTTCCAGCAGGAGAACACTGCTCCCAAAACCACCTTTGGCACCTTGGGACTTTTCTTCCAAACAGTCTTTCTAAAGATGAGGCTGAGCATTGAAATTCATGAAGCCCCTTGCTACGGAGGAGCACACTCTCAGCAAATGTGACTTTTATGATTACTCTCCTCCCACTCACCACAATTGACTCCTGTTCCCCAGGCTATAAACTACCTGCCTCTTCCTCCCCCCCCAAGGTGACAAGCAGCTTCATTTAACTTTAACTTTCTCTGTCTCTCACTTTCCGCCCTCTTTCCCACCCTTTCTTCTCCACAGCTCCCAAACTCACTTTCTTTAAACAAAGGCCTAATTGATACATGCCTAATTAATTTGTTCTCAGCTTGTATTTAGCTCTGAAAATCGCTGCTTCTATTTCAGCCCTGAGTAAGGGCTTGCATATCTGAGAGTTTAGCTGGTATTTCCAGCAGTACCAGCTGATCCAGTAACACACCCCCCTCGATGGCTGATTATTCCCACCATCCCACCCACAGGGGTTACAGCAGGACGCTGTGAACATCTCAGCTGACCTTCCTGAGCTGCTGTTGGGAAAAACTGGAGGAAAAAAAAGAGAAGCCAAACTGGGTTTGCACTAAATGTCTACTCCAAACCCCCCTCAGCCAGTGGAAAAGTTCTTCCGTGGTGTTGTGAAGGTGGGATTGGACAGGAATGTTCTGCGTGGCTCCGGGTGAGATCCTGGGTGAGATTCCTGCCCTTCTGCCCTGGGAAATTCCAGGTTGTAGAATCATAGAGTAGTTTGGGTTGGAAGGGATGTTAAAGATTATCCAGTTCCAACCCCTGTGCTGTGGGCAGGAGCTTCCACTAAATCCAGTTTTCTCTTCCTTATTCCTCAACCTTCTTTCTGTTCTTCGAGAAGTGCAAGCTGGTAACAATTCCTTTACATTAGCTTGGCAATCATGGATTATTTATGCTAGATTAGCACAGACAATTATTTAAATGAACATGGATATTTGCAGCCTCAGAGCAACATTGCAATAGGCTACTCCTTTCCAGCTCGGAGAACTGATGTCAGGGAGCTCCCAGCATCACTTGGCATTTGCTCTCAGAGCAGAGCTCGTGTCACACAGATGTTATTTATATTGTTTATTTTCTCCTGTGCTATGATCACTCCCTCAAATGAGCCTTACACTAAGTGGGTTTGCTTTGTTGGTTGTTTTTATTTTTTTTTTTTTAAATCATGTTCCAGCAAAACACTCTGTTTGTTTTTGTTTTGGGGGAAGAATGCCAAAATCGAGGGAAAACAGCACGGAGATGTTTTTGTTGGAGAAGTCAACCAGATCCATCTCAGCTCTCCTCCAACTCATTAACTTCCCATCACACGAGGCCCAGGGGCTGCTCTGACACTGGATCAGCTCATCTGGGCTATTGATTCCCTCAATCCCAGTGACCTTCCCATCGGACACCGATGCTGTGGTCTCAGTCTGCTCACCTGGCTCTCTCTGCTGCAAACGCCAGTGTTGCCACCACTCATTTTAGCCCTGCTGTGGGAGGACAAAGGGAGAGCTGTGGCTCAGACCTTCTGCCCCACAGCTGAGAGTCTTTCAGAGGTGGTGACAGACTGTATTTTTCTTTCCCAGTGGAGGTGGCGGGTGCTGGGACAGTCCCAGGTGTCCCATGGCACTGGATGTCACCCTAGAGTGAATCCCCCTCCCTTTCCCTGTTGCAGCACCTCTGCAGAAGCCAGGAAATCTTCCTGACCATTGCTGGTCCACACCAGAATTGTGTTAGGGAAGCAATTCCTGCTTGAAAATCAGCCTTATGTTGTGTTATCTTGGAATAGAGCAGATAGACACACTCCAGCCATGCAAAAACCCTGGAACAGAGAAGCTGTGGATGCCTCATCCCTGGAAGTGTCCAAGGCCAGGCTGGATGGAGCTCTGAGCAACCTGGGCTAGGGGAAGGTGTCCCTGCCCATGGCAGGGGGGGTTGGAACCAAATGATCTTCCAGGTCCCTTCCAACCCAAACCATTCCATAATTCCATGATTCTAAAACAGAGACAGTTCTATCAAAATATAAGCAAATTTTAGGAACCATTTTGTGGAGATCTTCATATTGGAAGATTGCAAGGCTGGTCCCTGATCCTCTAAAGGCATTTTTCTGAAGACCTGATGTTATCAGGCAAGCCCTTTGATGCTGCCTGTGAGCCTGAGCTCAGCAAACACTTTAAATCTGCTCTCTGCGTTTGTGAAATGAAAGCTGAAGAGAGAGCAAAGAGGGAAGCAGAGCCCGTGCAGAGCCACCAAAATTCGTTGGAGAGGCATCTGAGCTGGCAGAGGAACAGTTGCTTTCCCCTACTCCTTTCATCCACTGCCAGAG